GGAGCACCACAGGGCACTCACAGGTGGGCCGCGGCCTGGCAGACCAGGCCCTCACGAGGTACAGGAGCACCACAGGGCACTCACAGGTGGGCTGCGGCCTGGCAAACCAGGCCCTCACGAGGTACCGGAGCACCACAGGGCACTCACAGGTGGGCCGCGGCCTGGCAAACCAGGCCCTCATGAGGTACCGGAGCACCACAGGGCACTTACACTTAGAGTGTCTGTCGCACAGGGCCGAGGAGCGCATGTCGCACAGGCGGACGGTGCCTTTGCTGCTGCTGTAGACAAAGACGTTGCACTGGTGCGGGTGGAACTCGGCCGCTGTGATCACCTCCGTCAGCTCCTCCATGTTAGCAGGCTTGATGTCCACGATGTCTGGGTGAGTCGTTAAGGCAAAGAGGGCTGGCTTTGTAATTAGTGCACATGCAATCAAGCAGCAGATGTGAAATAATCTGCGCAAATGAGGTTTAAGAGGTGAGATGTCAAGCTTTAAATCTCTAGAACGCGGATTACATGTATCAGGTCACAGACGAGAATCAGGCAAGAGGATTTACAGTCATGCAAGGATGAGGCTGCAGCAACCGCCTGAGGGGGGAGCCTGAACCCCAGAACAAACACTGCTGTGATCCTGCTGCTGGGACTATGAGGACTGACTGACTGATACAGAGCTGGTGATGTGAGTTGGAAGAGCAAGCACCCACCGCCACAGACTCCCATTCCAATCCTTCAATAATCACACACGCGAGAAAAGCCGAGTTCCGAGAGACTCTGCCTTCTCACTTCTCTAACGTCCAGAGCCCGCTCTGAGCAGTCAGAGGAGCATCGGCCCCGGAGGCTGCCTCCCAGGACGTGACCACCGACCGTAGATCTGTAAGACGGGCTCTCTTCAACCCCTGCTCACACAAACCACCCTGCCTCTCCCCCAAAACAATATACAATCACCCCAAAACCCACGGGAGAAAACCACATACAGAAATCACTCAGCTAGAGAAACAAGAATGGGTGGAACCCCACTGTGGTCACGCTGGAAGAGCAGGCCACACAGCCTCCACCTGGAGCAACTGAAAACCAGACAAACCTCATGGAACACAGGCTCAGGCCACCGGACGCCAGACGGCAAGGGACCCGGAACGACAAGGTGAGCCCCCCAACTGTCTCGGTGTGGGTACTGGGCAGGCTCAGGGAGCTCAGAGCCTGGAGGTCTCCCTGAGCGGAGGGAGGGGCAGAGCTGGGCAGACAGCCCACGGGGGGGGCCAGCAGAGCACTCGCCAGCGCTGGCTCATGAGGGCACAGCGAGGCCGAGGTGAAGAACCACCTGGAGGTCGGAGATCGCGGAGGACAGTGCCCGCACGCCAGATCACCACCTGCCGGCTAGGTGTGACTGTGGTCTGAGCGGCACACTCTGCTGGCGCGAGCAGGAGCGGCCGGCCGGTGTGACGAGGGTTGTGAACATCCAGCACGGTGTGAAGGAGCCAGGCTGAGTCTGATGGGACTCAGATGGCACCGACCCGCGCCAAGAGAACGACGGGTGGAGGGGGACTTCATTGTCCAGGACTGACTGCCTCATCCAAAGGGACTCCTTGGCCGGCGACATCCATTTCCTTTCCATTCCTCAGGCACTGATGTATGTAGCTGAAGTCCTTATAATTTCTCACTAGACAATCAAACCAAAACCAAACCTGTTGCCATCAAGTTGATCCTGACTCATGGTGACCCTATAAGACAGAGCAGAACTGCCCCATAGGGTTTCCAAAGAGTGGCTGGTGGATTCGAACTGCCGACCTGTCAGTTAGTAGCCAAGCTCTTAACCACTGCGCCACCAGGGCTCTTCACTAGAATACAGTCATCCTAAAAGGTTCTTTCCTCTAATCCCAACGTTGCCCAGCCAGGCATCATCCTAAAATCTGTGGGAGCCAAGTCGCTTGTACTGTTTGCTGTAACTGCCACATGGAATGCCCCCCTTTCCTCGCTTCCCTGAATACACACTTCACAGCACCGGAGGGCAGCGCGTATGAAAAGACGCTCAACCGCACCAGAAATCCGAGAAATGGAAACGTGGCCTGAGATCTGCCTCACAACCAGAGGACTGTCAGACTCGAGTCTGACAATGCCACTTGCTTACAAGAAGGCAGACGATCCCGTCCTCACAGCGGTCACCTGGTGGGAGAAGGACGCAGCTGGGGGCAGAGGTCGCGGTGTTCCTTAAACGGGGTGATGAGGGGACAGGGGTGCCTGCTGTACCGTTTTACATCTTAGATGTTGTCAAAGATTCGTTTCTATTTATTGTATTAGAATAATGAAAAATACTGCATTATTAAAAAGGGTGGGTCTGCCTTTCTCCACGTGGTGAGTGGCGCTGAGCAGCTAAGCCAGAAACACCGTGACCGTGGTGGGGACCGAGGGGGGCCTCCAGCAGCACTGCCGTCTACTGAGTGGGGAGCGGCCTCAGGACCAGAGGCCCCGATCGGAGGGGCTGTGCGGAGGGCAACCAGGTCCATCTTCACATGGAAGTGGACTAAAGGCACTTAAAAGTGAACGGATACAGGTAAATCCCTGAAAGTGTGTGTGTTTCACAATCCTGCTTACAGGGAAGGCCACCTGATACAGATCGCTGGGGCAAAAGATCAAAATAAACACACAGCAGCAAAAGCTGGGACCGCCAGAGGACGCCCTGGCTGTGAGCTCTCCGCAGTGACTGAGGGAAACAGTGAGCGTCCCAACGGGGAAAGGAAAATGACAAAAGACAGTCAGAGAGCAAGTCACAAAAATGGACATTAATGAAAAGATATGCCAATTCAGCAGTCATCAAAAAATGAAAAATGGTCTCAATTTTGGCCTCATAAAGCTGAAAAGTTTTTTCTGCTGAAAACAAGCACTCATAGCCTGACTGAGGAGGGATCAGCTGCCCTCCAGACGGGCCACCAACCCCAGAATACGGATCAAAACCTAAGTGTACACACTTCAATCCGACCTGAGTTCCTGGGGTCTATTTCAACACATGTGCACACAGATGTGTGCAACTGACGTTCCCTGGAGCCCTGCTCATCATCCACAGGGACGCACTGGCAACAATGTAACTCCAGGGAGTAGTAATTAAAATAATGGAGCATGGGTGCAGAAAGTTATGTAATTACAAAGTGAACAACTGATAGGGGAGAAGGGTCACAATATACCAATGAGAAAAAGAGGCTAAGAATCGGGGCTGACCACCACCTCGCCCACGCCTTGTGCCTTAAAGAGGTTTGCATCCAGCACCCACGGAATCTTTGAGCAGCCTCCGAGAGAGCTGGCACCCTGCTGAGGTCACAGGGCTGAAGCTCTAGGAGTGCCAGGCACTCCACAGCCGCCGTGTCGGGGGTGAGCCGGGGGAAAATGACACACTTGCTTACATCCACGGCCTGGAAGAGGACGCATCAAAATGTCCACAACCTTTTCCTCCAGCCTGAAGTTAAGGAGGAGGATGTTCCTTTCTCTGTATTATTTGAGTTTTGCTTAAAATGGTTATGTATTATCAGAAGGAATAATTATAAAACAGAGGTCTAGGAAAATAGAGAGAAAACGAGCCATAGGTATAAACCTCTTCACTTGGGAAACTTTTCAAAGTCAAGGAAAGATGAGAAACGGAGTCCCAGCCAGAAGCGAGTCAGCCCACCGGCACGGAGTCTCTCTCCCAAAAGCGATCACAGCCTGGAACTTGCGAGACTGGATGCCTTCCAGCTATCAACGGCTACACAGAGGATGGAAAGAAATGAAGTAACCAAATCAAGTAAAAGGACTCGAAATAACCAAAACTAAGTGTGAAACGGCAGAATTTAAGAAGCCACACATACTTCATTTCCTGAGATCTTATGTGAGTAAAAGAAGGAGAAGCACCTGCCTGGTCCTCGCCAAAGCTCACCAGAGGTTAAATCGTCTACTTCCGAACAGCGGGAAAATCTGGCGGAAGTTACCTGATATGCACATATCACAGGGCTCTCTTATTTTCTGGAGAAGTCAATCATTTTTTTTTTAAAAAAAATCTGTGATTAGCCAGCCATATTCAAATTTACATCTTAAGAATGATACCATTATCTTCAAACGTTTAAAAACGATGAACTTTTCTTTCACTGTTCCTTAAACCTATCATCTTCTAAAACACAATTCCTCCACGATCTGTCACTTTCCAGGTTGGGAAATTAAACTCCATTCTAATCTAAGCTGATATTTTCTGTTATCTATTAACAAATCAAAAAGAATCAAACACACACACAAACACGCCAGTGTTGAATTTTCAAATATACGCTATTCAAATGGCCTCTAACTCAGCCAGGTGGACAATGGGGGCTCTGGACTTCAGCCTGCCCATTATACAGAGAACTTTTCCAAAGATACGAAGAAGTTTGTGTTTCTAGTGATCAACACTGTAAACTGCACAGAGAACTTACATTACAAGCTATCATGTAGCAGACTGCAGCCCTGGTGGCACAGCGGCTAAATGCTCCGCTGCTAACCAGGTGAGTGGTTTGAACCCACTAGCTGCTCCATGAAGAAACACGTGGCAGTCTGCTTCCATAAAGATTACAGCCTTGGAAACCCTACGGACTTCTACTCTGTCCCACAGGGTTGCTGTAAGTCGGAATCAACGCGATGGCAGTGGGTTTGGTCTGGTTTTTGGTTATCATGTAGCCAACCATATTTAAAAGATGGGAGTCTGAGACGCAGGAGCACGCTGCACAGGAAAATTAACTACCCGGAGAACAACCCTAGGAAAAACGCCAAGCTGGCCACCTGACAAAGGATACTAAAACTTCTATCTGTGATTTCTAAATGCCACAGATTAATTCTCAGGTCATCTGCAGAAAGATACGTTTCATGATCACTATTTACTGAAATGGAATTTATATGATATGTATGAGCATTTGCAAAAATTCGTCGAGGACTTGCTTCTACCATAAGGTCCATGGGCTTCAATATGGGGACCTAGAAATGGAAGGAAATAGGAATTCAAAACAAAGACCACAGCAGCATCAAACAAGAACACTTAGAGCAGATAACAAAGAGGAATCATTCTGTATTCAGTTAAGTGATAGCTCTGTACAGGCAATGCCCCCAATAACCAGCTGGCAGGGTTGTGAAGATGGGCTACACAGGGGATACTCTCTCTGGGCTGGGTGCCTCCCCCACCTCCCGTGGCTGAGGTTGGCATTGTCTTGTTGAGGAAAGAGGACCAGCTGGCACCCAGACCACCTGCTCCCGCAGGCCACACCCAGACCCGAGACAGCAAAGTCTCCCGGGGCTTCGGCCCAGGCTCCTTCCTTTCTCCTCTCAGCCCAGTGGCCTCAGAGAGTGAGAGCTGGCACAGTTTTAGGGACCACAGACTCCCTAGTTCCTGTCACGGGTGGGCTGGTTCTCAGTGGGACACTATGGAACCTCTGGGGGTGGGGGGTGACAGGAAGTGTGCACAGGAGGGACCCTGGGTTCTGATGCTGCTCCGTGAACTGTTCGGGGTGCTGGCTGCGTGGTGTGTTCAGTCTGGAAAATTCAGAGAACTGCTCACTTACCTGACACACGCACGTTTTTGTCTGTGTCTTACATTCAATAAAAGGGTGAGCAAAATAAAACGCAAAAGCCCCACATCTTCGTACGAGTGCGTGGTCAGGGACTGCGCCATCGAGGCTGACACGGACAAGCTAGAGAGAAGACGGCCAGGACAGCAGAGGGCGGGGAAGAGGCACTGGCCAGAGACGACCCGGGGCCAAACGGTACAGCGTAAGGTGTAAAAACAAAAAATTAATGATAGTGCGCTTTTTAAGTCATGTTTGTCATTGGAAACCAAAGGGAGAGCCTAGGAAGGCCAGGTGGACATCTCTCAGTCTTTGTCTGGTCAAAATTCTGTAAAAATGAACTTGGGAAACGTCCTACAGACGTCTATAGGACCGCTCTGAAAGCCAGCTAGACGCCGAGGTCTGTCCTCTCGAGGAAGATGCGTCAGCGTTACTGTGTACCACGCACAGGGCTGAAAACAGACACCACAGCCCTCTGACAAGCCCCACTAACCAGAAACTACGACAAAGGCATTGCTTAGAATAAAGATGCCTTCTTTTAATGAAATTCCCTTTCTGGCATGAAAATAATTGAAAAACAAAATTAAAAAAAAAAAAAAAATCAACATTTCTGACTCCTACCCAGTTAAGTGCAGACAAATAACAGAATGCTGACCTTTCTGAGGTAAGAACTCCCAGTGGACCCGACACCCAAAGCGAGCCCAGGGTGCAGTTACCCGCTCGCTCTGGGAGCGCCTGTCCCGCTATCAATGAAAACAGCGGATGATGACACAACAGCCCCCACGCGTCACCGCGGCCCCCGACTGCACTGGTCCTCCTGAAGCTCATCTCCAAAAGCAGCCTTAGACGAAATCCAAGGTCGGGACCTGGGAGTCGTGATGTGTGAGGTGGGTCTGACGAGGAGAAATGTGGGGTCTAACCTGTTTCCACTGAAGTCCAGGGGAGAGCTGGGAGAGAGGGCTACGCCTGGCCAGGGGGGCGGTGGTGACAGCGTGGGGTGGGGGGTGGGTACGCCTGGCACAGGACAGGGTGCACCCGGGGCCTTGGCCACTCCAGCACTCCTCTGTGTTAGAGGTAGTTTAGCTGTGGTCACGGGAAAGCTTCTGTTACTGTCACTCACGGAGATTAATCTCAAACTACTGCAAGGATGCATGGCGGCGTACTAGGAACCACCAGGCATTAGGGGCAGAGTCCCTTGGTTCAAAAATTACGGTTCTATGAGCTGGATCTGAGCACACGACGTGGCCTCCCAGCACTCAGCAGCCCACTGGAAGAACCGTGCCAGCGTCGACCTGAGAGGTCTCACGCCGCTGCCATCCTGCACCTCTCCTTCGGAACAAGAATCCCTGCGATGACCCACTGTTTCTGTGGCTGCTGGAAGGCTGCCTTTGCTGCCGGGCTGGTGGCTCTGTCTTGTGCAACGATATCCTAGCACCTGGCCCACTGCTCAACACAGGAAATGCCCCAAAATGCTATTCAAACAGACCAGCACTCTCTGGGCCCAGTAAGTTCCTAGTATTCACGATTGTGGGGGCACGTGTTAGCAAAGAGCTCTAAAATATAGCTCCTTCTCTGCAAGACTCCCAACTACTCAGTTGGAATATGTTCACTAACTAGGTCTTCACTTGATAAACAGTACATCAACAAGGACTTTTAACCTCATTAAAAAACATACAAACCAACAATTTTCACACACACTAGCAACATTCCTATGGGACAATTTGTTGTAGGTCTGCCTCCGAACAGAAACGCTATGCTTTTTGACTGCAGTGTGCACCTCCTGGGGTCCCCAGTGCCCGTGGTGTGACTCCGTGTGCCTGGCCTCCTCACCACACTTCCTCTAACTCAAGAATCCATCACCTGTAGGCACCACTGAGCCAAGACACCAAGGTGGTAAGCTGTACCCAATCTTAAAGCATAAAAAGCCTCGGTATTAGAGCTGATGCAATGTGTTCATTTCACACTGCACTCGGGAGAACCAAAGCGGGAGTGGAGAATTTAACCATGAAAAAGCAACGCTGCTCACGGAACGACAGGCACAGAGGAGACACTGCCCAAGGGCGCTGAGCGTCAGAGCCCAACCCAGCTAACGCAGCGGACATGAAATCAGAACCAGCACCGGTGTATCCTGGTGGTCCGTGGCTACTTCATCCAGGGTCGTGTCCTGAACTCCATTTGGACTTCAGTTGTGCCCACGTGCTATTCTGAGCCTTCAGAGTGAAAGGAGCTGATACGTTGAGAAATATTTCTGTGGTGGAATTAAATCTGAGTTTTTTCATTACTATCACTGTATTTTCTGAGGGTAATGTGCGGCTTCCTGCTTTTGTGAAAATATGAGGAGTCCCAGTTTTTAACAAAGGAATGTCAAAGTGATCACTGTTACTTGCAAACGACCTCCATGAATCCCGAAAGCAGATCTCACAGGGCTCCCTGGTAACAATACTCTCTACACAGCTGACTTAAGCATTATTTGCTCTTGATTAATTTGTGAAAAGTACTGGATATTTTAAAGAAAAGGCAACGTATACCCGTAGTGCTGTAATTCTAAATGGATCTCGAAGTCGTCCATCTTCGTCTTTCAAGTTATAACCTTCTGCTCTTTTATCCCGTTCACTTATTTTCCATAATTTAATAGTTTTATCTGAAAATAAAAACCCCATTCTCCATATTAAAAGAAAAACCATAACACGACCACTATTACTTGAATATTATATTAGAAAGCCTTGTGGTTCTATTGATTTATAAGCTAGGGGTCTTTGAACATTCACATTTCCAATCACGGACAAACACTGTCTTTTGTACAATACAAAGATGCAGAGTAGAGTAACCCTGTGATATTGTGGGGTGTTCTGTTTTCTTGCACTCTTTGAAATTTCAACCCAACTATCACTTGCTACCTAGCTAATAATTTACCCTCCCCCCAAAGTTTAAGGCAGAAATAACTCCTAGAATGAGTTAAAATAAAAAGGAATCCATACACAGAAAATCAAAAATATAATCCAAACCAAAAAGACACTTAAGAAAAAGTTCTTACCGTTTGTAGAGAGTAGAAAATGAGCAGCATTCTGTTGTGGTAACCACCTAATTTTATTAATTTTTTCCTCTATTTCTAGACTTTTCAAATAGTCAAACTCTGGTTCATGACTCTGAAAGGTGCTGTAGACATTGTATTCTCCCCTAGCGTGAGGGCGGCTCTTACTCTGCAAGGAAACAGGACAGCTGTCTTAGTGAACAGCGCAGTGTGCAGAGAAAACGTCAGTACCACCGATCTGAGTATCAAACGACCACGTGCATTTTTAAAAGTTAACAAAATTCTGGGCCAAAAAACTCTCAAACGCATGAAACTCAGGATTAACTTACTTGAGAAGAACAGATGAAGACTATCCCCCCCGCAAGCCTTCCCTTCCTCTTTTGGGCGTCCCCTTGAGCAGGTTGTGGGCCACCTGTGAGTGAAGCTGTTGGCACACGGCCAGCACACTTGTTCCCACGTCTGTGACTGCTTCAGCCCAGGTGACAGAGGCTGCAGGGCCCACAAAGCCGAGAATGTTTACCCTCTGGCCTGTGCACAAAGGCCTGCTGACCTCTCTAGAACATTCATTCACACAGCCCAGCAGGGGTCAGCACCAGGGCAGGCCAGTGCGGAGTGGAAAGCGGCACACTCACGGCCCTAATACTTCACAGCAGTGATAATAAATGACCTAGAGCTCCACACGCGAGCATGGACACGCCCAACAATGGTGTGTAAGAAAAGCAAACTGCACAAAGATGTCCCTAATGTAATACCTCTCACGTAAGTTTTCAACACACACAAAACAATTCCATAAATTACAGTACAAGTAGAAAAACACGCTTGGGAAGATACAGATACCCTCTTCAGAATAATGATCAACTTGGGGAAGGCAGACAGGATAGCACAAGACTGGGGGGCAAAGTGGAAGAACGGGACTGGGAGGGGCACAGAAGGGGCTTCTTCTGTGTCCCCAGTGTTTCGTTTCCTTTTGTAATGGAATCAAATCAGGGGAGTGGGTTCGTGGGTATATTTATATTAATTCCTGCAATCTTCTGTAGGCTGGAAATGAAATTTTATATGAAATATTAAATATTTCATAATTAAAAAGCAAGGACACCGGTATTTTGCTTAATTCTTGCTCTGTAACCAAGATCCAAAACCTTACACTTTTTTTACACTTCAGTATGTGTGCCAAAGAAATAAATCTTTATATCTAGATAGGTACTTTTTACGTTTCTGAACTAAGATCACATAATATCTCAAGTGAGTTTCTCCACTTTACTGAATTTTTATGTATCCTATGTTCCTTGAAATCACGCAGTCATCAGCAAGAGCCTGGAAATCTTTCTGTTACGTGGGTTTTCAAAATCTTTCCGTTACGTGGGTTTTCACGAGGGTGTCGTGGGAGGTGGTTAATGCTATTTATTCTGCTCTCCCTCTTCACCTGCCCCCACGCCTCTCTATGAAGAAGGACAACACATCAACCGATAGTTCTAACTCGGCTGGAAGTGAGGAAAAAGTGAATGATTTAAACAGAAAAGTCAGACGGTCTCGGATGGCGTGGGAGAAGAGTGTGGAGTAGAACTCAAGTTCACGTAAAAAGAGCAGACTTACTGGTCTAACGGACTGTAGGAGCCCCCAAAACTATGGCCCCTGGACGCTCTGTTAACCCAGAACTAAAACCATTCCCAAAGCCCACTCTTCAAAGATTAGACTGGACTATAAAACATAAAATAATACTTGTGAAGACTGTGCTTCTTGGTTCAAGCAGATACACAAGACCAAATGGGCGGCTCCCGTCCGGAGGCAGGATGAGAAGGCAGGAAGGGACAGGAGCTGGTTGGACGGACACGGGAAGCCCAGGGTGGAGAGGGGGTGTGTGCTGTCACATCGTACAGACTGCGACTAATGTCACAGAACAATATGTGTGTAAATTTCTGTATGAGAAATTAACTTGAGCTGTCAACTTCCACCTAAAGCACAATAAAAATAAAATAAAGTCTGCAGAATCAAGCAGTCCCGTGTCTTAAGAGGCTCGTTCACAGAAGAGGTGACATCGATCCACACAGAACAGCAGGGCACAGAGAAGGAAATGCCCAGGCTGAGAGGTCTCCTGAGAGGGAAGCCAGATGGCGCCGTTGACGCCAATGAAGGAGGCTTGCTAGACTGGGGGTGGGCTCTGACAGGAGCTGCGGACCCGCATGGGAGGGGGCCAGAGGCGGACAGCACCCTGGGGGACAGTGATTTTGCTTCCAGATACGTTGATTTTTGATGAAACTAGGTGAAATATTCAAATGAAAGTGATTCTGCAAAGGGGCCAGAGCTGCAGAAGGTGAGGCCGAGCACACAGGCGGCTCACACGGGTCTCTGCGGCCCCAGCTCCGAGGGCGGGAGGCAGGATCCATCCAGAAACTCCCCTTCCTCGGCTTTACACGCGGGGCTTCCCGGCAGCACTGGATGTGCACGGAGGATTCTGCAGCTGAACAAACTAAGCTGAGAGTCACATTGCTGGCTACCCAGTCTCCCCAGCCCGTGCCCTCAGAGGCTCCTGACCTAACTCTACGTCCTGTGCCGGCTGTCTCGGGGGCACTGCCGTATCTCCAGCAGGCCTCTCTGCTCCCTGGATTCTCTCCACGCCGCGGAGATCCTGACGCAGCATCACACCGAGCCCGCGGCAGCTGAGCTGGCAGCGGTTTTCTCCTCACCGGCACTGTGATACCACCAAGGGCACCTTCAAGCCGCTGACACAGTCATCACCCACCTCTGTCTTCTCTGCTGCCAGCCCCATCTTTGCTCAAGCTACTTACACAGCTGACAGACACTGCACGTCTCACTACTAATTTACGGGCTAGAAGTTATATGGAGGAGAAAATAATTTATGCTCTCAACCACCCTAAAATACAAGTCGACCAAACTCTAAGCTAAACGAACTCAAAGCATAAGACGCTGCCTAGAAGCTAGATATCCTACTTGAGAAACAGGTGGAATATGAAAGTCCTTCTTATGTTACCCAAAATATGAAGAGAAAGATGAGAAAAAAATAAGTTGCTGGAGTTTATCAAGCTGCAGTTAACCAGGCTTACCGAACTTACACCGCTTCAGGGACTACTCCTGTACAAATCTGTCACCTCACATACAGTGATGTGAACAGTCAGTGTGACGGTCCCCACAGCTCTATACAGCCAATCATTTTAACAAGATGCTGGATTCTTATCATAGTCAATTTCACATCTGAAGCTAGTATTTTTTATAACCCACTAAAACAAGGACAAATTTCATTTTCTACCCTAAGGATATCATTTAACACAGCTATGACTGCGCTTGGTTAAACCACCTTCCGGCTAAAGTAACATTTAACCACTACCACACGTTTTTACTTCTGTTGGGAAGGCAGGTCACACACTTCTTAAGCAGCACTGCGTGATATTCTACATCTAAGAACGCAAAATGACAAACTTGTCAAATTACCTGTGAGGATTTTCAAAGATTAACGATAATATACACAATATACACAAAAGAATTTCCATCTCAAATCAGAGAAATTAAGATTTTAAAAAATCTTTAATTTACATGGACACAATTAAAATTAGAGCTGCCACAGGTATAATTTGATAATGAGATCTGTTAGCGCCCATAAATCTCTTCCCATTTAGCCAAGCAACCCTCCCCGGGCACAGGGCACCCAGGAATCACCTCCCATAGACTCCAGCAGGTGCCTCCGCTCGGCCCGGGGGCTGGCACTGACTGCGACACAGAAGAGCACGAATTCTGAGCTGGAAGGAACAAGGGCCCTCGAGCCTCCACACCCAAGTTCTACCACACAAATCTAGACAAGACTTTGGGGGTAATGGTAACTGCCCACTCATCTGCTGGGAAGCAGAGACAGGAAGACCAGCGGCCTTCCTTATGAATGTATCAGGGAAACGGCAAGACAAACACTTTCCAGAAAGCCCAGGCCTGGCCACACAGTGGGTTCTGGCAGGAATACTCGCGTAACAGAAACTTACCTCACTTCCTTCCTCACCCTCATTCAGAACTCTGATGAGGGCAGCCAGAAGCAAAAGGCAGTTGGCAAAGCCTGGCTCTTCTCCCACTCTCCTCTCTCCCTCAAAAAACAGAAATGACCCCGAAGCCAGTGCTTATGAGGGAAGCTCATCTGTGAGCGCCAGCAAGGACTCTGGTCTGCAGACCCCTCCCCATCACTTTCCTCAGGAGGAAGTAGAACTAGCCTGCTCACCTCTTAGGAGGGAGGGAGAGGGGATTTATTCCTGACCCTGCCCCCCGCCCCCCCTTCAGTCTCTGAGCTGCAGACCTTCTCCCCTGCTGGGGGACCAGGCACAGCAGAGCCACCACCAGAAGGTCCTACTGCAGGGGGCAGCCCCATCCCTAGAGGCCAGCCAGGAGACACCCTGGTAGGCCCTTGGCATTCTCCAAAGCACCTGGGATAAAACTGCCCTGACAGGCTGACCACGGGCTGACCAGGACAAACTTCTAATGAAACAGTAATTAGAAAAGAAATGCAAACATTTCCCCATGTATTCCCTGGCTAACAGGCCAAATCGAATTCAGTTCAACAAGGGGACGATGAGGCCTTTCACAGACTGTCTGCTACAACCTAAAAAAGTTACATGTGATGAATTACTTTAAAATTTGCTTTGGGACACTAACTTGGTAAGTGAAGCATCTCTTAAATACTAATGTTTTAGACAGATTTTCATATTCTTCATTAATATTGCAGCTCTGCCCCAATGTACAGAGGAAGGGCCCACACTGCCAAGGGCCTTCTGAAGCATATCTGTTCTCCAGCCGAGGACCCCAGATGCCTGTCATCTTGAGAACAGGAACAAGTATCACAGGATGGACTCCTCTGCCCGATTTCATACGCATATAATCACACCCCCAGTGGCTAATGCACTCAAAGAACACAGGTGGTAATCAATGGATTACCGACGGCAATTTACGAAAATTTAGGTCCAACTATTTTTCTTTCAACATTTATTTAAAACTTCAATAATATTCACTAGCCCTCAAAGTTGTAATGTTAAAAATTCTTATCAAAAAGACCTGGGCATGTAAAGTGATTTCCACAGTCTCTTTAAGTAATCTCAGGATGAAAGCAAATAAATCCCAAGTACCACCACCTGGAATTCACTTGGCATCGCAGACATTCTTAGCCCTGCTGTAAAGGGAAGGCGCTGTGACTTAACTGGGAGCTCAGCGGCAAGACTACCGGTGAGCAGAAAAGTCACAGATCTTTCTGTTCACTCCTAAAATAATTTCTGCAAGAATATTCTACACAGTCAGTCCCCTGGTGGTGCAGTGGTTAAGAGCTCAGCTGCTAACCAAAAGGTCGGCAGTTCGAATCCACCAGCTGCTCCTTGGAAACTCTACGGGGCAGTTCCACTCTGTCTTATAGGGTCACTATAAGTCTGAATTGACTCAACGGCAACGGGCTTTTTAACTGAATAAAAATGTAACTGAATCAAAATGAAATTAAACACTGAGAAAACACTTTTGCTTCCTGTCTTCTAAGTTGTCTGAGAAGGGCTGAACCATCATCCGTCCTGTGGACTGTAAATTACTGACCTCTTGTTCTCGCTGGAAAAGAACAACTCGTCCACCCTTGTCTCCTGTTGCAAGAAGATCTCCAGAGCAGTTAAATTCGACAGTTGAAATGACGTCGGCTGTCAATGAAACAGAAGCAATTGAGTAGATGAAGATTTCTGGAGGACTCACAATGATTACCAAAATTCCGTAAAAAGAAGTATCCAAAGAAAGATAAACACACACAAAACTGTCTCCCTAAGGAAAGCAACATTTTCACAGCAAACGTGGAGTTACCAAGCAGCCACTTAGTGCGGGCTGTGGTGTCCACAGCCCGCTGGCACATGTGGACTTGGGAGCTCTGCTTACACTGACCCAACGTCTGGTCCCCCGCTGCACCCTGATTTATCTAGGCTGGGGTACAAAGATACTGGATAGAAATATAGAAAATTAATTTTTAAAAGAGAACGAAAATGAAAACATTAGCGCCAGAAGGATGCCTGATTTTAAATGCATGCCTAATGCTAACTTTTAAAATAAATCTGATTCCTACACTAACAGACCAGCACTCGTGTGTCAGTTTGCTGGACCGTGGTGGTTTGTGTGTTGCTGTGATGCTGGTGCCACCAGTACTTTAAATACCAGCAGGGTCACCCGTGGTGGACGGGTTTCAGCGGAGATTTGAGACTAAGACAGACCGAGAAGAAGGACCCGGCCATCTCCTTCTGAAAAAACTGGTCAGTGGACACTCTAGGAATAGCGGCAGTTAGGAATAACAGCGGAACACTATCTGCTACAGTGCTGGAAGATGAGCCCCTCAGGCTGGAAGGCACTCAAAACACGACTAGGGAAGAGCCCCCTCCTCAAAGCAGAGTTGATCTTAATGCTGTGGATGGAGTAAAGCTTTAGGTATTTTCATCTGCTGATGTGGCAGACTCAAAATGAGAAGAAACAGCTGTAAAAACATCCATTAATAATCAGAACGTGGAATGTACGAAGTATGAATCAAGGAAAATCTGAAGTCATCAAAGATGAAACGGCATGCTTGAAGAGCCACACCCTAGGCATTACTGAGCCGCAATGGACTGGTATGGGCCATCCTGAATCCGACAATCACAGGGTCTACTATGTCAAGAATCGCAGCCTGAAGAGGAACGGCGTCACATTCACTGCCAAAAAGAACGAGATCCGTCCTGAGGTACAACCCTGTCAGTGACAGGACGACATCTATATGCCTACAAGGAAGACCAGTTAGTATGACTGTTACTCAAATTGGCACACCAACTGCTAAGGCCAAAGATGAACAAATGGAAGATTTTTATCAACTTCTGCATTCTGAAACGGGTCAAACGTGCAATCAGGATGCACTGACAGTCACTGGTGATTGGAATGCGAAAGTTGGAAACAGAAAAGGATCAGTAGTTTGGAAAATATGCCTTGCTGGTAGAAATGATGCCGGAGATTGAATGATAGAATTTTGCAAGACCAATGACTCATGCATTGCAAATACCTTCTTTTCAACAATATAAAAGGTGACTACACACGTGGACCTCACAGGATGGAATACACAGGAATCAAATCAACTACATCTGTGGAAAGAGGCAGCGGGGAAGCTCGATATCATGAGTCAGAATAAGGCCAGGGGCAGTCGGCGGAACTGCTCACGTGCAAGTTCAGGTTGAAGCTGAAGAAAATGAAAACAGGTCCATGAGAGCCAAAGTATAATCCTGAGCATATATTCTACCAGAATTTAGAGACCATCTCAAGAACAGATCTGACGCACTGAACACTAATAACCGAAGACCAGAAGAGTTGTGGGATGACATCGAGGACATTATACTTGAAGAAATCAAAAAGTCATTAAAAAGAAAAGAAAAAAAAGACCAAAATGGATGTCAGAAGAGACTCTGAAACTTGCTCTCGAACACAGAGTAGCTAAAATCAAATGAAGAAATGATGAAGTAAAAGAGCTGAACAGAAGATTTCAAAGGAAGCTTGAGAAATGTGCAAAAACCTGGAGACAGAAAACCAAAAGGGAACAACATGCTTGACATTTCTCAAACTGAAAGAACTGAAGAAAAAATTCAAGCCTCGAGTTGCAACACTGAAGAATTCTATGGGCAAAACACTGAACAAGGCAGGAAGCATCAAAGGAAGAAAGAAGGAATACGCAGAATCACTATACCAAAAAGAACTGGTCGGCATACACCATTTCAGGAGGTAGCATATATCAAAGGAAGAAGTCCAAGCTGCACTGAAGGCACTGGCAAAAAACAAGGATCCAGGGATTGACTGAATACCAATTGAGATATTTCAACAAATGGATGCAATGCTGGAAGTGCTCACCTGTCTATACCAAGAAATTTGGAAGACAGCTACCTGGCCAACCAAGGAGAAGAGACCCAAATACATGGCTATTCCAAACAAAGATGACCCAACAGAATGTGGACATTATCTAACAATATCATTAATCGCACACAAGTACAATTATGCTAAAGACAATGAAAAAATGGTTGCAGCAGTACACTGACCAGAAAACTGCCAGAAATTCAAGCCAGATCCAGAAGAGGACGTGGAACCACAGAACAACAGAAGGATATTTACCTGTGTTTACTGATGATGCAAAGGCATTTGACTGTGTGGATCAAAACAAATTATGGGTAACATTGTGATGAATGGGAATTCCAGAACACTTAATTGTGCTCATGAGGAACCTGTACATACACCAAGAGGCAATGTTGTGGCCAGAACAAAAGGATACTGCTTGGTTTATAATCAGGAAAGGTGTGCGTCAGGGTTGTATCCTTTCATCGTACTTATTCAATCTGTATGCTGAGCAAATAATCTGAAAAGCTGGACTATATGAAGAAGAACGTGGCATCAGGATTGGAGAACGACTTACTGACAATCTGCAATATTCAGATGACACAATCTTGCTTGCTGTAAGTGATGAGGACCTGAAGTACTTACTGATGAAGGTCAAAGACCACAGCTTTCAGTGTGGATTACACCTCCACATAAAGAAGACAAAAACCCTCACAACCGGACCAATACGCAACATCATGATGAATGGAGAAAAGGCTGAAGTTGTCAAGGATTTCATTTTACTTGGATCCACAATCAACAATCATGGAAGCAGCAGTGAAGAAATTAAACAACATACTGCGTTGGGTAAATCTGCTGCAAAAAACATCTTAAAAATTGTTAAAAATCAAAGATGTTACTTTGAGTACTAAGGTGCGCCTGACCCAAGCCATGGTATTTTCAATCACCTCAAATGCATGGGAAAACTGGACAATGAATAAGGAAGATCGAAGAATTGATGCCTTTGAATGATGGTGCTGGTGAAGAATATTGAATATACCATAGACTGCCGGAAGAACGAACATATCTGTCCTAGAAGTACAGCTACAATGCGCCTTAAAAGTGAGGATGGCCAGACTTTGTCTCATGTACTTTGAACATGTTATTAGGAAGGACCAATCCCTGGAGAAGGACACCATGCTTCGTGAAGCAGAGGGTCAGCAAAAAAGAGGAAGACTCTCAATGAGATGAACTGTCACAGTGGCTACAACAATGGGCTCAAACACAGCAATGACTGTGAGGATGGCACCCGACCAGGCAATATTTCATTCTGTTGCACACAGGGCCGCTATGAGTCGGAACCGTCTGGACAGCATCTAACAACAACAAACCAACAGAAAATTTCAAGATTCTATGCAATAACCTTTGTTGGCTTCTGTACAGAATAACACCTAGACAATACAAGTTCTGTGTCACTGTCAGGATGAAGTTACTCCCATTTGATGACGATGGCTCACGAGATTTCTGGCACTATCAAAACAACAACGTCGGACATCCACTAACTAGAGGAAAAGGGATAAAAAGAACAACAAAACTAAGTGGTAGAAGTCCTCACATGCCGCTAGGTAAGCCATCTGGTTTGGAGAAAATGGATCTGGATTTATGACGTAGAGTATTTGCATCTGTAACATGAAAAGGCTCAGTGATGAGTTACAGAGGAGAACGGCTGACTCTGCTCCTCAGAGCACTGACAAATGAGGACAAGGACCAGTTGTAGCTGGCTCTGTGACCAGACTGGACTCAACGTCGGCCAGGTGACAGTGTGTGCTGTGAGTGGATCACAACAGACCTAGCCCCACTTCTGAGCCCACTCAATGGCACCTTCTATTGGCAAACAATAGACAGCTTTGTACATGCAAGGCCCATGGTATCACTAAAGCCCAAAGTGCTCGATCGATACTGTAAACAGCTTACCTACTACTAAGACATGGACCCCAAAATAGAAACAATCTGAAGAGTTCCCCAAAAATCCGCCATGATAGAATGCAGTTCTTAAAGGTCGGCACGGACATTTTAATCCGACAACTGTTAATACATCATTTCATGCTAACATTTGCAAAACAAGTTCCGAGTGCACTGGCCCTGTTGGCTGACTTTCAACACCCTGAATTCTACTGCCTGAGATTTTCTTTTTTTTTTTTTTAAATCTTCAGGAAGACTTTGGAAAAGGATTAGGCTTCCTCTTGTTAGAAGAGTCACTTTTAAATCAAATTACTAATTAAAAAAAATCATAATATGCCTATAGAAACTAATCTTTATAGGATCAAAACAGACTAAATCGACATCATTTATACCCAGAAGGCACACAATATTATGTAATTAATGGTACTCTAGCTATGTCAGTGACTTTGAAACTTAATTAAAATGTACTGAATTTTTCAGGAGAGCAACTACCACTGACTGCCAGCGCTGAGAAATTATTTTCATTATGCTACGTAAATATGCATGAACCTAAAATTAGACAGACCCTCTGTAGCGCTTATAAGAGCTTTAAAACCAAAATAAATACACAAATTAAATACCAACAAAATTATAAAACCAATAAAATTTAAGTTACCAGCATCAATTTAATCGGATGGATATTGTTTTACAAAACTAGTCTGATACGAAAAGCATCAATATGGTACTGGCTTGGGGTTCGGTGTGAGTCGGGTATTTCAAAGCTCCTGTCCACATACTGGGTGACAACTCAACGCTCCTGTTTTCCTCTGAGCAGCTGGGCGACCACAGCACGGTGTAGCCCACGTCACCTGGCCTGACGTGGCATGGTGGCAGT